GTTCATTAGTCAGTTTTAATGCAAATATGGTTCTGCACGGAAAAAGACCCACCATCTTATTGTTCATTAGTCAGTTTAATGCAAATATGATTCTACACGGAAAAGGACCCACCATCTTATTGTTCATTAGTCAGTTTTAATGCAAGTATGGTTCTACACGGAAAATGACCCACCATCTTATTGTTCATTAGTCAGTTTTAATGCAAATATGGTTCTATACGAAAAAGGATCCACCATCTTATTGTTCATTAGTCAGTTTTAATGCAAATATAGTTCTCTACACGAAAATGGCCCACCATCTTATTGTTCATTAGTCAGTTTTAATGCAAATATGGTTCTACACGAAAAAGGACCCACCATCTTATTGTTCATTAGTCAGTTTTAATGCAAACATGTTTCTACACGAAAAAGGACCCACCATCTTATTGTTCGTTAGTCAGTTTTAATGCAAATATGGTTCTACACAGAAAAGGACTAACATCTTCTTCCTGTTAATTGGTCGGTTTTAATGCAGATATGAATTTGATATTCTAGTATGTACAACGCCAACTTCATTCAGAACTCTGTACATGCAACATGAACTTGTACACAGTGCAACTTTGTGAGAACGTTCTGAATACTTTGCAGCGTAGCACATTACCGGTATTGTATATTGAGCATTATATGTCATCACATTATTAATTTATTAACCGACTGCCTTGGTAGTGGCTATAATATTTTTCAAATGAAAATCAAAGTAGTGTTTACTAGGAAGACAGAACCAACGCGGGTTTTAGCAATTCAATTACGTGACAATGTTCATTGCCAAGCACTTACCCACAGCATTAAATCGCGAAGTTAGCACATCGCGTGCTGACAGTGTCAGCGTATTATCTGGCACGAATCTTTAAAGTGAACCCAAACAGTTAAAGACAAATATCAGGCTCTATGTGAAAATTAATGTATGGAAAATATAGTCGTTTATAGTGTTCTAGTTCTCCGCAGGAAGCTCAGTGCTGGACAAAAGATATATGTTAGGACAGAATTCCCGGTGATCCATGGAACAAACAGGCACACAAAGAGACAGACAGCCTGACTACTCATCAACACATTCGTCCAGGTATGAAGTCTACACAATGTCCATGAGCTCTCCTGCACCACCCACATGCTGATCGACCAATTACTTACACCTGCACCACCCACATGCTGATCGACCAATTACTTACAGAATGTTCGAGAACGAAGAAGAACGGCAGGTGGTAAGAAAAAGCCAGCCCTCCACTGGTCACCAGAACAATTTTCGTGTTAATGTCCGGCAGGGTGTCTCAGACTGGTCATTTTAGCTAATCTCTAATGAAAGTGGATTAGTTATAAAAGGCCTTCTTCGTTCACAGCGCAGGTAAGGAATAACTTTAACGACAAAGATCACATTCGCTCGAACTCTTTAATATATTAAAATATCACTAACTGTCTCGAAAATGGCATAATATTATGTATCTTATGTTCTATAATTGTTTCCAAAACTATAATTCAACTGCCATTTGCTATGCACTTCAATTACTGCGACTACAGTAACTCACGATATTCATTCGTAATTAAATTGTCAAAATTATTTTTGGGATAAA